CCCCAAAACCCCAAAACCCCAAAACCCCAAAACCCCAGTTTGGACATTAGGATTGAATCGTCTAATTCTGGTGAGGGGTTAAAATTAATACTACTCTTAAAAGAAATTGTTAAGAATTTCTGAATGGGTTTAGAGAACACCTTCAAATGCCTGAATTGATCTGAGAGAGCTCAGGTCAACCCACAACTCAGGTGGATAATTGTAACTAGTAAGGCAGGGTTAAGAGAGAATTTAATTAGTAATAAGATATATGGGCAGTATTTATCTGAATTTTAAACTTTTCAAACCTTCAGAATGAATTTTAGAGTTCTCGATTGGTTTTCTTTGGCTCTTTCTCAACAATGAAATTTGTGTAGGCCTGGACAAGTGGATGCGTCTAATCTCTAGCTTGATCTTTCTCTCTTGCTTCCGCTTTTCTTGTGCCTCGTGACTCTTTATTCTTTCTTTAAGGTTTAGGATAGAGTGATTATAATTTTCTTCAAAGTCTCGCCAGATATTTAGAGTATCTCTGGTGCTATCAAGGCTGTGCTCCATGATCATCCTTGCTTTTCTGGACTCTCTGAGGGTTTCTTCAGCTAGTTTGGATGTCTCATAGTGATCTCTGATAACAGATCTCTTCCATCTTGTCTCCCGGTTGAGGCTGAACTCGTCAGAATATTCACAGAATGAGCTATGTTAAAAATTTATTGGGCTGGTTTACTACAAAAAAAATTGAAAACTTTAGTTTTTTCGTAGAAAAATAGCTTAAATGCTTCTTGAGGGCGTTGCTTAGGATGAAAGTTATCCTCATGATTAGGTTATTATATTACCTCTTGGGAAAAGTGAGTGAAGTCCAAAACAAGAATAGGTATGATAAAAGTGGCATTCATGAATTCCTATTTGAATCAAAGAAGTACTGGTTTAAAGAACGCTTAGTCAATTTCAAACTAGCTTAAGAGTACGCCTTAAGCATGAATATCTGGAATGACTGAAGTTTAGGAATTAGCTCATGTAGGGATATTTAAAAACAATCTGTCTTCCTTATTATAAAAGTTTTAGCTCTCACGGCTCACTCGCTTACCTTGTAGTAGTAGTATTTGGCATGGATGTATTTATTATTTATAAGAACATTTATTTCTACTTTAATACAATTGAAGGGGTTTTGGGGTTTTGGGGTTTTGGGGTTTTGGGG